ACTCAGTATTTTCTGTTAAAATTATTTCATCTTTTTAATTGATGACCAAAGTATCTTGTCCTGTGTTTGCATGCATCCACAACCAAACTGTTAGCTGTGATGCCCACACTGGCAGACTCATAATCCAAATTAGCCACCTGACCCTGACAGAATAGGCTTCTTTGCACACTTCCTTTTCATTGAAGTTATCTGGAGAACGATGACCTTTAAGTCTGCAGTTTATCATGTTTTCTTGCTACAAAATAATCTGATACTGTAGCAGTTCTGTGATTCCCAAATCAATAGGTTTTAACTATCATTGCCACAATCAGCTACCCAATTTCTTTGCACATTTTTTGGCCGAGCTGGATGTGTGCAGCCTTTTTAAAATAGTTTATGACGACACTGAAAAAGTTATTTAAATTTCCAGCCTGACAGTTTTGTCTCTACACAGAATCTACACAGACAAGGCAAAATAACTGCAGAGCCTTGAAAAAATTATATCATGAATATGCACATAATGGCACCAAAGATGACTCATGAAAAACTTAATTGTTCCCTTCTGTGGATTTAGTTTTCATGCAGAGGCTCAAGTTGTGCACTTCTTGGAAAAATCTGAGAGATTATCAGGTTAAAAAAAAAATTGGCCCACTGCCCACTTTTATATGATGAGGGATTTTTTTCCTTTAAGACTATGGGATATTAACAGTTTTTAGCAAATCATTTGTTTTCAGCAGTGTCCGATGCATCTCAGAACCAGCTGTACTGATGAAATATGCATACCCCAAGGTCAGAAGAGTTCCCAGGTAACTCCCTAAATGCTACACCTAACATTTGCAAGCAAGGTTGCTACTTTCTGTGGTATTTGAATAATGATACACTGGGCCATTTGAAAATTTCAACAGATGTTCAGATTTTTTGAATAATCATTTTGGAGTCTAAGAGAAAGTTAATATAATCAAGTTAATAACATACCTGATCATCGTGAGAGCACTAGCTCTGTTCTCAACTCTGACACAGCACGTGGTTCTAAAAAGACAACTGACAACTACTCTGCAGAAGCTGCCCAAGGGAAAAGCAAAAGTTTTTGGACAGAGATGAGTCAACAGGATTCCTTCTGACCCATTGTCAATTACCGGGCTAAAGCTAGCATGTCATATTCACAAAAAAAAAAAAAATTTGACCCAGCACGTCTGAGTATTAGAAATTGTTGACAATCTTCATTTGTTCATGCAGGTGCACAAAGACATTTTTGCAATTCTGGTAAGACACTGAAGAGAGGTTCGATGCAGCGTGGTACATCCAGGCCCCAGGCTGCCCGTCTCCTGCTCAGCCTCGCTTTATTTCTAGCGGAGTAGCTCACACCCGCCAAGACCAAGATCCGGCCTCCTCTTCATCCAGCTTCAGGCCTTAGGATTTCAGATGGCTTGTGGAAATAATAAACATGCACTAAGCATGACTAAAGCATCTTCCTGTCTTAGTTCCAGATGTCAGTACTGTTGTTCATCATGCTTCCCCTCCATCTCTCCTGCATTGAATTGTGACAGGTTTAAATTCTTTTCACAGTTGCTGCATTATGCAAACTTACTCAAATTTATTTCCCATTTAGATTTCAGACCGAGACCAAAGTTTAAAGAAAATCATTTAAGCAGATGTATCATGAAAAGTAAAAGAAACCTCAAATGCAGAACTTTAAAAGTCAGGTTATAAAGATTTCAAAGACTCAGTTACTTTCATTACAGGAAAATTAAACTCCATTTATTCCTGGATGCAACATAAGTGAAAACAGAAATTAGGAAAATGGAGAAAAAATTCATAAAGAGAAGACTGATTACCCTAATTTGGAGGAAGGTAACTGTATCTCCTCACTTTAGAAGCAAATTAGTCATCTGGTCCATGGCAACTAATCTCCAGTCATCCCTAAATCTTTGTGTCACCAGAGGGGAGGAAGGAAGCTGCTGGCACACACTTCTCTTCCTAACACCGAGCTCTACCCACGCTGTCATCACACGGCCCTGAGGCATTCAGTCTGCCACCATGGCATCTGCCTACCTGCCCCATGCCAGATTTTGGGAGAATGAGACTGAGCAAGTTAAGTGAGCTAACACAAACAGAAGAATACTAAAAGTAGTGCTCAGTAGCAAAAGCTAAAGCTAATTATAACTTGTTGGACAAAACACAGATGCGGTAGTAAGTTTTATGAATTAGTTGAAATTCAATGAATGTTGTTGGTTGAGTTTCCTGATTTCAAAGGTTAAAAGCTCCAGGACAGCTCTGCTCCATTTTTTCTCTTGGGACCATGGATCCAAGGCCTTCCAGAACCTACAGGTTCAGGCCTGCCATGGGATGGGAGATGGAGAACCTACCGCTGGAAACTGGTCTGCAGCTCCCTGCTATGCTAAGGTTCCCCAGGACCTCTAGCACATGGTGAGCACTCTGACTCCTGCAGAAATCTCAGCTCTGGCAACTTCACAGTCCAAATTACTGGCTGCACCGAAAGGTCCTCCATAACACACCCACACACACACTCCCCCAAGTTACCAGGCTTCTTACTGTACAATTGCTGGCATGAACTCCCTGAGTTCACAACCCTTCAGCCACCTGAATGTTACCATCATTCATCACCATTCATCATCAGTTAAAGCTGTCCATGCTCACTACAGGGGGGTTGGGCTAGATGACCTCTAAAGGTCCCTTCCAACCCAAAGCATTCTATGAAATCTCAGGGTTTTCAGGTTTCACAGGCACCACAGTATCAATACTGCACACCGATACAAGTGAAACATCACAATCATTTCTTTAAATACCTTCTTCTGTCTCCAACAGATTTCTAACTAAATGGGAGGAGAATGCCAGGTATCATATCACATAGCTTGGAAACAGAGCACATAATGAAGAATTAAACTATGCACAGAGTAACACTAGCAAAGCAACAGAGAGCAGAATTTATTTCTATAATACAGGAACACAACATTTAGACGTTTCAGAACAACCCCTGTAAGTTATTTTATTTCATGTTATGAAGAGCTTGGTTATTTCTAGCTCCCAAAAAACAGGAGGGGTTGCCATCAGTAGCATTCATTGTCTTTACCTATACAGTTCAAACCCAAATCCCCTTAACAAGCAGTCCTTCCCCATTAATGCCGTGTCACAGTTCTCGTGCCCAACATTACAGCTGTAACCATAGGACCAACCTTTTACAGCATCTTCAAGATAAGTCTTAGGCTATGCTTACGTCAGCAAGAAGTGTGACATGAGCATCTGACTTGTAGAGCAAGACATTTGGTGCTAAGAATCCAGCTTTCACTATGCATATATTTCAAAGGGCCATATTCCAAACAAAAATCTTACCTGGTCCGGTGGACTGAACACTTGCCAAGTAGCCAAGGCACACAGATCGTACGTCCTGCAGTTTAGCTATATCGGAGAAGAACCCCACTTATGCACTGACACCATCATGTGACACAAACTGAAGTGTGAAAAGCAGGGAAGACTCAGATTTATTTCAAGGGCATTCAACTGACCCAAGATAAAAATGGCAGTGTAGGTACACCCTTGTTCTCTTAACAGCTTCCCACACCAACAGAATCCCTCATCAGTGTGGGAATATGCAGGACTGAGGTAAGATCCATTCAGATAATCCTCACTCCAACTAAAGTCAGTTTAATTCTTTTCAGGCTTCAGCATCTATCCTCATGATACTAACTTCAATACCAAAGTCTAGGCCTCCTATATGCAGAAGCAAGCAATAGTCATTAATCTACACAATCCACTTTTAATTAAGCAAGCCAAGAAATCATCAAACTGTCATCGCCTAAATGTCTTCTCTACGCATTGCAACAGTGGTCAAATTTTAGTTACATATGATGAAAACTCAGACCGGCTAAGAAAAGTTTTCCCAATTTGTTTTTTTACCTGATGACAAAGTACCCTAAACTTCCTCAGAGACTTGCACCACACAAGACTACTGATGAGATTAAGTCATGTTCTCTCATCTTTTTTTTTTTTTCCATTCTGAAAATTAATCAGAAAAATATTAACTGCACAGTGTTGCAAGTGCCTGGAGCCAAACTCCTATACATGCAACAAGAATGTTTTCACATGCCAATCCAATATAATCTTTGATTTATTGATGTATACATCTTTTTTATTATCGGGAGCTACAAAACACAGAAAAGATGGATAGCCAAATTACTTGGCTTAATATAAAGGAAATACAACAGATTTTAGAATGAGACTAGAACCCTAACATTTACAAGTATTTTCAATAACAAAAACACTCCATGAAATTCCAAGTTCATCAGTTACTGCATATTTGTTACTAAAAGAAAACAACCCGATCTCTGATCTACAGCCTTAACACTGATGTTATACAGCTTGACTAATAATCTTAAGTGTATCAGTTTTCGCTAGATGAGTGTTCATTTTCCTTTCCTCTTCTCATGTCCAGATTTTTTTTATGTAGTCTCTAACAAGAGGGAAGTACCCCACCCCAAAAAACACCCATACATTTGCTTTCATGCACAATTTTAACACTGTTTTGAGACTTGGTATATATTTTAGTACTGATAATCAACATTTCTCAGCCTACTGCACTTCCTACAGAACACCAAGTCAAAGCTTTTTTTAGTTTGTCTGGAAATATATAGGGACTGCATGGTTTTCTTGGAAAGTGATAACACTGATAACCCACTAAATGAAGAGAACAATTTTTCTAGACTAATTATAACATGGAATGAATATCCTTTAATAACATTATTATGAGAATAAATACATAAAACAAATGCAATATATTAGCCACATTTCCTCATATACATTCAGAATATAACAAGAAGCTAATAGGCATAATCATCAGAACTAACTAGTTGAAGAAACAAATTTTTACTAAGCCAACAATACTAGAGGAAAGCTGGAAAGTTTATGCAGTAGTAGTAGGCAAAGAAGATGTGATTTCAGTGTTTTCTTGATATTAATTTAAAGACAAGTATACTGTAGTTATAAGCATGAACTGATGGAAGCGTTTAGCTCCGTGCGGTGGCCGTTTGAGGTTGTTCTGACTGCAACTGCTTTCCAAGGTATTCCCTGAAATACAACAAAAAATTAGATTGAGAAACATTCTGGAGAGTGGGGAGTAGGACAGTGGCAGGAAGTACAAAGTAGCGAAAGAGGAAAAAGCTTTTAAGTTTAGACTTATTCCTTCAAATAATGTCTACTGCCGACAGTCAACTGGAGCTACTATGAGAGTAATGAAGCTTTAGATACCCATCATCTATCCCTCTGAAAATACGGTATGAGCCAAAGATCAACAAAACTGGAAAAAGAGAAAGCCCAGTGGTAATATTTAGAAGTCCTGGCAACTGTTACAGAACACCCATGAAGCCCACAGATTTTGCTTGCTGAATATACATATTAGAAGGTGTGGCAAAGTATTTAAAAGGATCTCTTCCCATAACCCAGCTGCATGAGCACAAGTAATACCAATGGACATACTGGCAATTTAACACATAGCCTAGCAAAACAGACACTGACTAAATATGTTCAAGTTTGAAGAAAGAAAAGATATTCAAGCCAGGCCCACTGTATAACAACACTTTAAATAAAGTGTTTTCCTCACCTGCATTTTGAAGTGCACTAAGTAACTTATTTTACACCTGTCCTCTCAACACTGGAACAAACACCCACCAAGTTCTTAGCATTTGCCTTGAGCAACAATATCTAAATTCTATGGAAAAATACTGCACAATTCTTCTGAATGTTCCTATCTTTCAGTGTCTTCTGTGAAAGCAGCTCAACACTTCATAGAACAAAGAAGCTGAAAGAGGTCGTTAGTAATATCTGGGTTGTTGCTTGTTACAGAAAATGAACTTCAATAATTGTATCACTTTATCAGCTGAAAGAGAGGTTTCAGGACCTGTGAAATGTAGGCATTCTTTTTCCATTGCTAGTCACACACTTAGCACCACAGTTTTTCTCACTACACAGGTATACCAACCTACACAGGTTAAACATTAGAAGCAGTTCAGATAAACGTTGTTCAGAATGAAGCCTTTTTTTTAAAAAAAAAAAAACAAACCCTAAATCAAGAGTATGCACTCTTGCTTTATATCCTGGTTTTGGCTGGGATAGAGTTCATTTTCTTCCTAGTAGCAGGCATAGTGCTGTGTTTTGGATTTAGTAGGAGAAGAATGTTGATAACACGCTGATGTTTTAGTTGTTGCTAAGTACTGCTTATGCTAGTCAAGGACTTTTCAGCTTCCCATGCTCTGCCAGGTGCACAAGAAGCTGGGAGGGGGCAGAGCTGACCCAAACTGCCCAAAGGGCTATTTCATACCATATGAGGTCATGCTCAGGATATAAACTGGGGCAAGTTGGCTGGGGGGCAGCGATTGCTGCTCGGGAACTGTCTGGGTGTCAGTCGGCAGGTGGTGAGCCACTGCGTTGTGCATCATTTGCTCTGTATATTATTAATACTATTATGTTGTTATTATTGCTACTACTATTTTACTTTATTTCAATTATTAAAAAACTGTTCTTATCTCAACCCACGAGTTTTCTCACTTGCAATCTTCTGAATCGCTCCCCCATCCCACCAGGGCAGGGGGAGTGAGAGAGCAGCTGTGTGGTGCTTAGTTGCTGGCTAGGGTTAAACCACAACACCTTTTTTTTTTTTTTTAAGTAAAAAACATCAGTTCCTATTGCAGATTTCAAAAACTAGTTTTCAGTTTAGTGTCCTGTTGAATAGCTTATTTCCTATGCATTACAATCCCTATCACACAATGAAGTTTAGCATCACAACTGTACCACCTGACAGCACTTTTCTCAGTTTTAAAGTTATCTAGAAAAGCAAAGTTCCTGTAAAATATAATGTTAATTTCAAACTCCACTAGCAAAGAAAATAACACACAATTTGTATGCTGAGCCATACATTATGTTTTAGCACCTTCCTTCACAGCTTTATCAGGTGTTGCTGCAGGATCCCAGTCTTTTAATGCTTGGGCTACACTCAATAGATACGACTCTTGATCATAATAGGTAGGTTACCACCCTCAGAGTAGAGACTCCTGAAGGCAAAGAAGGAAATGAGCTGCTCTCTTGTGGTTTTACAGGACTGAAACTGTACCACCAAAATAAACAAAATTGGACAGCCATCCAAAAACACAGCCAGCAACTATGCAAGGGTTTCCAAACTCACTTCCTTCTGCTCCCTCAGTGGTTTTCTTCTTTGTTTCGTGCCTATATGGATGCACTGATTCTAGTATTTCTTCTCTGACATTGTGGAATAATTGCTGGAGGTGACAGAGTGCAGCATATTCAGCAAAAAAATCTCTGAGAAGGCAGAGTAAGGACATACAGTAGATAGTACAGTATCTTCCCTACAAAACCTTCTATTTCAGTCATTCATTTGCAGATGTGAGGTTTAAGTCCAGGGACAAGGAAAAGCTCTTATCCCATTCCCCCATACAGAATGAGTATCTGCAGTTACCACTCCACATTGCCATGCTGCAAACCCAGGTGAAAACCCCATACTGTTCCTACCCCATCATTTCTTTAGCCACCATCAAGGGCCACAGAAATGCAAAAACCTTGTCACACCTGCTGTTACAAGTAACAGTTAATTTTCTATCTGGTTATCACTTGCAATTGAGTGTCATTCGTTAACCTAGGACAAGTTCTTCCATGGTCTACGCTGGATGATGAGAGGGATTGGTAAGATACCAATAGGAGGGATTTAGACATCTTCTCAACATGAAGCTTTCATGTACAGCCTTAGGAGAGCAGATCAATAGGTTATTCTGCCAGGCCTTTGGTCAATTCTCCCTCCAATCTTCCACTAAAACTCAAGCTACCAAGAGTAGCTAAAGTAGGCCCCTGTTCTTTCTCTGTTAAAATACATACTAAAAGGACAAGAAGATTTAAGCTTTTTATTTTTTTTTCATATTGGTATTTCATCACATCAGGAGGTTAAGTAGCACTGTAAGCTTCAGTCTTCACACATAAATTGGACACAGGTGCCCCTCACTATGCTATTACAAATAAAGTGTCTAAGATTTTTTTTTATTTATCCTGCACTATTACTTAGTTAAATCTTCACAGAAAAACTGTGAGTTTAGAATTACTGTTTTCCCCACAAAATTAAAATTACCTTTAAGAATGCAAGCATTCAACACATTGCACTATAAGAGCGTGTACGATGAAAGAAGGATAGATCTTATCACCAAGATAACAAATCACTTCACAAAATATTCAAAACAATATCTGACAGATTAGAGGTGCAGGCTGCGAGGGAAAGTACTGAGGTATTAGACTTGGTTTTTTAAATTACAAGCTATAAACCCATGAATTGGACCACTTCTCCCTATTTTAAGCTTATTTTGTCAGTCCTTCCCTCATAACTGCAGAAAAAGACCACCTTTACTATAACAAAGGCATTGTGGTTGGTCTTTTGCAAGCACATCCAAGTTTCTAAGATGGTTAACTCGGAAGCAAAAGTACACAACATATGAGTGTGGCCACTACTGGCACAGATTCATGTGTGCCTGATCAGCTCATGCTATAGACTAAGAAAAAAACATATCCTGCTAACATTTGACATAGCTGAACTTTTAGGCCTGCATACCCATTGTCTTCCAATATACAATCTTACAAGTAGTATCATTTTTCCCTTCTAACCAGGCCAAGCAGATCTGCAGGGTGTCACTCAATGTGCGTTCTACAAGATGTACAAAATTCAAGTACAAAGTTGTGGAAAAAGAGCAAAATACTGTCCTGGCCAACAACAAATTCAGTCACCAATTCTTTCCACTAGAAAGCTGCCTTTTACCTTGAGTAGGCATTGTATTATTTTATATAATACTTCAAAAGCCAGTCAGAAGTAGTAAACATTTTCTCAATACAAATATACCAGCTGTCCAGCAATTATATAAGCCTCATTTTTCTTTTAAATTATTTGAAGGGATGAAGGGAAATTAAATTCTATGTACCAGTAGTCCAGTAATATTAAGCATGTCTACATATAATAGTTTATTCCTTAACTGCTTTCCAGAAAGGGAAAGAAAGTTACCATATGCTTAATGGTGCTCCCTCAAGTTAATAAGCATCTGGAAAAATCAGTGCTCTCCCACATAGACAGACTTATAACTAAGCACATCATTTTGGTATACTCCCCATGCTGGGGTTGTAGAGCTGAACTCTGTGGATATTTCTAAGGTACCTTGCAACAGTTCCTAGTAGCACTAACTTGGAATCAGCACTAGAAACCATGCAACACAGAAAAAGCAGGCAATTCAGCCTCCAGCATTAATAATCAAAATGTAAAGTACCTTGGAAGTTCAAATTTGCAAGTTTAGCTCTTTGGAACAAAAAGTTCCGCTTTGACCATCTTCCTCCCACTGGAACAGAAAGGCCTTTATAAAGGTCAGGTTTAGCCCCCTTCTGACTTCCTCCTACATAAAACCATCCTTATTACAGGGCAGATGAAGCTGGTCCAGACAAGCTTGCATTTACAGTTAACTGCATTCAAATGTGAAACAATTGATTCAGTATAAATTTACAAGAGCACAAAACATTACCTCTGCATTGCAGAAGAGCATCAATACATGCAAGCATAGTACGTCACTTTGTAGTCTTCCATTTCTCAACTAAAGCTCAAATCAACAAAACTTGGAACGCCCCATTCTCTCACTTCCTTGGGCTTTCAGAGGTCTGACAGTGAGGCATAAGTCACTTCCATTTGCAAATTAATCTTTCATTCATATTAGAATAACTGTGAGATTCCTTCCACCCTAGCAATTTCCTCTTTACAGGCCTCATCTTTAAACACATGTTTTCCAAGGTATCCAAAGTGCTTTTTCCAAGAAAAGGAAACTTAGAGGTGAATTCATTAATCTGTTGCATCTCCAATCCTTATTTCAATGTGTTGCTTCATTCAGTTTAATTTAATTGGGCTTGTTGGCATGAGACACACTGATAGCTTCAAGCTGAGGTATACTTAAGTGTTATGGTAATTGCAACAAATGCTTAGAGGTCACTTAGGAAAAGGCACAAGGAACTGATCCAACACATAAGCCACCAAATTCAGCAAG